TTTTTCGACATTAACAGAAAATCGACAAAGTTTTGCGCACATTTGCAATGGAAACGCAGCTTGTGACCCTAACCATGACCCCAAACCCTAAACTCCCAATCTGAGGCATCCCGACGCGTCCAAACCAGCTTCAGATGGATCCTGACCGAGCATGAATATATGACGAGTTGAGTGAGAATGTGTTGATAATCCRTATTAGGGGTGGGACACAATAATGAGCCTGAAAACATTCAGGCTGTGTCTCAATTCCTGGGTTGGAGTCAACRTCCGCCGCTTACGTACCTGAGCTAAACTCAAATAATTCATGCTTTTTATTCATTTGTAAAATATTTCAATTAAAACTGAATTTTGTGATGAAACAACTGAAGCGATGTGATATAAACTGTATCACCATGAAAACGAGGCAGTAAATGGTCATGCTAAGATGCATTTCCCRTAGACTCGTTTCACAGCCGTTTATGCAGCCGACACAAGCGGCCTGCGACCCACAAAGACTGTGGTCAACGTGGGGCACGGTCTATGTCGGCTGCAACCCACGAATCGAGACACAGCCTCTGTGTTGACACAAAAATGTAAAATATTTCTTTTAAACCATAAATTTTCCTCTTTTGGTGTCGCTACTTCATGGTTTCATGTAGAAACTTTAAACGTAAAGGAGACATAGCTGCTGAATCCACTGTTTTATCTGTTAAATACATTTTGTTTTGGACTTGGAGTCTCTAAGAGGCTGAAAAGTAGAATTCAGTCTCTCCTGTTCTGCAGAGATATCTTTATACTGCATACTGATTGTTCAGCTCGTTCAGTTTTCTCTGTTTTTTTATCTTGTTTTCTGAACTGTTACGTCAAATTATCTGAGACAGAATTACCGTATAAGGTCTGGACTTAGCAACTCTTCTTAATTCTCCTCTGGTTCTGAGTCAGACTCTGGTTCTGGGTCAGACTCTGGTTCTGGGTCAGACTCCGGCTCCAACATGTAAGGCTGGATGAACAACTCTTCTGTTTCTGACATCTTTTAATTAAATTGTAAATAAAACGTTTCTACAAGCTAGAAAACATAACCCTCTCTCAAACCGGAGTGGACCGGTCTGGAAGCAGGAGGGGGGCGGGGCTTGAAGCATCTTAAAGGAACAGTTAAAAAAAAAACGAGCTGCTTTGAGACACACAGCAGAAAAGTGGTGAAAGAAGTGCTGGTGAAGTTAGAATAAGGAGGAATTCAGACCAAAGCTTTGCAGTTCCACTTTATAAAGACCCAACTGAAGGATTYAAATGTGAAAAAAAGGATTTAAAAGCATCATGTGTCTGTTTTAACGAAAGAAATGTAACCAGCTGAAGAATCAACAGTGATTTTTATAAAATTGATGTATTTTTAATTGTATTAATAGATTCTGTTTATTGTCTGATGTGATGGTCGTGCTTCAGTAATATATTCTGCACCATGTGATGCATTTTGTATCCAGGGTTCCTGCAGATCCTTAAAACGTTTAAAAGGCATTGAATTCATCAATCCAAAAATAAGGCCTTAATTAGCCTTAAAATGTCTTAAATCAATCTTTCAGAAGTCTTAAAAATGTGAACACATTGTAAACAGGATGATTGTAGTTCATCTCACATATTAAAATTATTGCTAACATTTATTTTTTAATACCTGCATGCAGACATTCCCCTTTGACATCACTTCCTGTTACTTAGATGCAAATATCTCAACAGCTGTCGATCTGAGCAATGTGAAGTTCGTTTTGTAATATGTTAATAATGTTTTCTTTTCAAAAATGCATTAACTTTTCTTACAAACTTTGATGTCACAGGCACTTAAAGGTTTCATCTACAGCAAATTGGGGTTAAGACCCCACTGTGGGTCCTAAAACTCCAAATTTTGGGTCGTTAAACTGACCGTTAAGAATGTTTTTGCTATTTGACAAAAAAGCAGTTAGATATGGATAAAAGCAATTAGTCTATTATCAATATTTGAATACTTCAACCAAAAATATTCATGAGTTTCTGCTACAGCTTCTTTTTGTCATTTGTGTTTATTATGAAATTGGTTTAAATTTAATTTCAGTTGGCATTAAGGAGTCTTAAAAGGTCTTAAATATGAACTAGTTTTAAACTGTAGGAACCTTGGTATCATATTGTGAAGCAACCTGGGATTCCCACCCCTAATTTCTTATTGTCAGTTAAAGAAAATATCATCTGTCCAGATCAAAGTTTAGACTTGTTCACACKGGGTTTTCATATTTATGTTTACTGTTTAAATGTCTTCACTGATTTTAACTGAGGTTTTTATTCTCATTTCAGAAAAGCTGGCCTGTCTCTGTCTGCCTCTCAACCCAAAGTCCACAGGGTGAGTAAAGCAACTKATTTATAATATACTGTATGTAACAATAATCTACTATAAATTGAAAAATAGCAACACAGCTATTTATCATGCTAATGGTTTATTCATGACCGATAAATAAATGCCATTAAGGAGCAGACGATGAGCATAATGCCCGTTAACGCAGCCTTATTAAATCATCTTTGTTTATAATTACAGAAAGAAGTGKTTTAATTCCAGTTTTTAACCTGTCTCACTTCTGTTTTGAATTGTTAACAATTCACGAAGGAGTGATTAGCTGGAGAACTTGTTGGCAGGGTGTGAAATCCTCTGAGGTGAAACCTTCAACACTGAAGACAAACCAAACCAGAGTTTTCATCTCATCCAGTGAAAAAAGCTAAACGAGYTTCTGGAACCGGTCCATCTCCTTAACTAATCTGTCCTCACGAGCTCTCACCAAACAGGAAAAAAAAAAGTAGGGGCTGTTTATGTGTTTTGATTTTCTGTTTGCTGAGAAGAGGAAATGATCTGCAGCCCGAAGCCAATCCGCCGCACCGCTCCCGCCTTTCATGGCAACAGAAACAGACRGGCAGAAAAAAAGAAAAGCAGAAGGAGGAATAATGGAGAGGACAGCGCAGTACATATGGCTGCTGTGATAAGAAATGAGAAGCACAGAGGAGAAATTAGCGGCGTTCTCAGGGAGGCGTAATTCATATTCAGCAGACATCAGCTCAGACGGGTACGCGGCGTTTATTTTTAGGAAGTGCAAAAGTTGAGATTCAGAACCCATCAAAGCTTTTTTTTTTTAAAGGGAGACTCGTTTAATGTTTTAAACCTGCAGAAACTTTATTTTCTCTGCTTTCAGAGAGTCGCAGTACAGCAGCGGGCCTTACGAGCAGACGCTCAGCATGGATCTGTGTGGAACAGCAGGTAAACTGGACCAGAACCTTTCTGGATGTTTTTAACTCAAAATACCATGATGCCAAAATGTAAATGAGAGAATCTCAGTATTTACAAACTCTACTTCGAATAAAGCTTACACTTGGGAGATTTTATCAGAAGTGTAAGGATTAAAACAGCTGCTGTTGTTTTAGAGATATTGAGGTTGAAACTGATTTGTTATTTTTTTCCCCTTCTGCCTGAATAATGTTTTCATTAAACAATATATAACCATTTAAAACCATAATGAATCAGGCTAAAACCTCTTGGAAACCATGAATCTACTTGTGGACATTACCTGTGTAAAGATTCATGCTGCTAAAATTAACTACAGCAAAGTTACAGAGGCTTTAGTAAAGAAATAATTTGGTGTTTTTCTTTATTCTACACACGTTTCCATCAATAAATGTTAGGAAATCTGAAGTTTTTAATTGCAAGTTATTTTTTTTACCTGCCTGAAAAGACTTTTACCGTATTTATTCATGTATAATACGATCTCGATTATAATACGATCATCATTTTTTTGCTTAAAAAG